TGAAGGCAATAAATTGTTTATGCATGGAATATGATATGAAGAATTATATAAAATGCATATTTGTTTGAAGTGTATTAGAAGCACAAATGAATATTATTAACTTAATTATATGATGATTAAGTTGATACACACAAGGCATGAAATGACGGTCAACGAAAACGTTGACCGATGGACAATACATTTAATTAATACCGGTTGGTATTAATTAATTATAAATCTATATAAATGCATGGTTTTGCATGGATTGTGATACATAAGCTTTATGTATTGAATTAGTTATGAATGACTAAGTATGATATAGACTCTATCTAGGTTGATAGGAGGTTGATCATAGGAAAATATTTTGGTGGAGGACCCTAGGACTAAAAAGTCCTTAACACTCATAATTTGGTGGAGGACCCTAGGACTTAAAAGTCCTTAACACTCATATTTTGGTGGAGGACCCTAGGACTTAAAAGTCCTTAACACTCATATTTTGGTGGAGGACCCTAGGACTTAAAAGTCCTTAACACTCATATTTTGGTGGAGGTCCCTAGGACTTAAAAGTCCTTAACACTCATATTTTGGTGGAGGACCCTAGGACTTAAAGTCCTTAACACTCGGATAATAAATTGGTGGAGGACCCTAGGACTAAAAGTCCTTAACACTAGAAAATATATTGGTGGAGTACCCAAGGATTATGATCCTCAAAACTCATAGATTATGATATTGAAACAGGGACAAGGAGGAGTCCTATACACTCATAGGTATATGGGTGGGTTGAGGTTTTTAGTCAAGGATATTGACTATTACTATTTTTCCCAAATAAAATGGTGATCCACGGATCGGGTATTTTCCAAGTATATATATACTAATGAGTATTTCATAAATTGGGGAAAAAGACTATCTATATAAGTATCACCCTATGTTTGGGTCTCATATTTGAAACGCTAGTTATTCTATATTTAGTCTGCTACTCGCTCGGTACTTGTACTGACCCCTTCGGGGGGGCCCACCATTTTCAGGTTAAAGCTAGGGCTTGCTACCTGCACCTTCTTACGGGTGATATCAACTTCAGGAAGACGCGGTTCGTGCTTCCTTATTTTCTTTCAAACTACCGAACACATGCTCATGGATATTTGTTCTACTATAAACTATTTTTGGGGCTTGCATGCCCATGTTGTTGGCCGGTTGTGGCTTATGACTTACCGTTCAATATTTCCGCTATTCATTGGTTTAAATGTGATGTTGGTATGTATGTTTACTACTGAGTATGGATGGATTATTTTCTCGAACGCCTTGTGTAATTAAGTGAGGTTGACTCGCGGGTGACGTCACTTGATTATACGGCGGTTGTAGACACGCTTGGATTGCGGTCTGGGGCGTGACACACATTGTTTTGATTCCAAAGAAGGAGCACCCGGAATTGCTTAGCGATTGGCGTCCCATTGCACTTTGTAATGTAGTATACAAGATTTTTTCTAAAATATTAGCTAATAGATTGAAGGTTCTTCTCCATTTATGTATTTCTGAACAACAAAGTGCCTTTATTCCTGGGAGATCAATTATTGATAATGTTATGATTGCGTTTGAGTCTCAACACTACTTAAAACGCAAGACTCAGGGGAAGGTTGGCTATGCAGCTTTGAAGTTAGACATGAGCAAAGCTTATGACCGGGTGGAGTGGTCTTTTTTGGAAGGAATGTTGAAGCATTTTGGCTTTTCAGACAGGTGGATTAATATTGTTATGGGGTGTGTAAAGACGGTCACTTACTCCATTCCTTTTGAGGATACGGAGATAGGACCAATTATTCCTTCTAGGGGTTTGCGCCAAGGGGATCCTCTTTCCCCTTATTTATTTATCCTGGTCGTAGAGGGTCTCAGTGCTCTTCTCCGGAAGCATGAGAGTATGGGCTGCATTCATGGCGTGGCAGTGGCTAGAGGGGCACCGAGGATATCTCATTTACTTTTTGCGGATGATAGTTTATTGTTCTTTCAGGCTAATCACAGGGAGGCGTCAATAGTTAAGGAGATCCTCCATGATTATGAGTCGGCTTCGGGACAGGTGGTAAATTTTAACAAATCTAAAGTGTTTTTTAGTACTAATGTTTCGGTTAGTTGCAGAGAAGGGCTGGTGGAGTTACTTGGAGTGGGACCTGCGGCCATGGAGGAGAAGTACTTGGGGCTGCCGGCTCTTTTTGGCCGAAATAAGCGGGAGATTCTGAACTACTTGAGGCAGCGGGTTGTTAAAAGAATTCAAAGTTGGAACAATAGATTTCTTTCCCGGGCAGGAAGGAAGGTGCTACTAAAAACGGTAATTCAAGCAATGCCTTTGTATGCTATCAACGTCTTCCTTTTACCAGTTGATCTTTGTAAGGAGCTGGAAACTCTTATGAATGGGTATTGGTGGACGAGTAACGCCGGGAGGGGCATTAGATGGCGGGACTGGGAGTTTCTTTGTAAACCAAAAAAATTTGGAGGTTTGGTTTCCGAAGAATTGGACAATTTAATATTGCCATGTTAGCTAAGCAAGCTTGGAAATTATTTAATGATCCGGGTTCCTTGGTTGGCAGAGTTTTTAAATCCCGCTATTACCCTAATGGGTCTTTTATTTCAGCTAAATTAGGAAATAATCCTTTCTTCATTTGGCGGAGTATTTTTTAGGCTCAAAAAGTTATTAAAGAAGGTTATAGTTGGCGGGTGGGGGATGGGGAGTCTATTAGTGTTTGGAACGATCCTTGGCTTCCGGATCCTATTAATCCGAATGTTATGTCTAATACACTTGAGGGGTTGGAAGATCTTAAAGTGGCCGGCCTTATTTCTTTTATTAATAGAAGGTGGGACACAGACTTGTTGGAGGAGCTTTTTAATTGCAGGGACAGGAACTTAGTCAAGAACATTCCTTTAAGCTGGAGAGCGGTTCCAGACCGGATTGTTTGGCGGGGAGAGCAGAATGGTAGCTTTTCTGTCTGAAGCTGTTATCGAAGATTAGTTGGCGAGGTCAACCAAGTTGGCTGGGGGGGTTGGACAGTGTTTTGGAATTGGAGGTTACCGCCTAAGATTAAGGTATCATTCTGGCAAATTTGCTCGGACCTTTTGCCGACAACAACGAATCTGCGGCGGAGGCGAGTTGGGTGTGCTGAGAAGTGTGGCTTGTGCGGAACGGATGATGAATCCCTTTTACACTTGTTCGTGCTTTGTCCTGTAGCTTCCGAGGCTTGGAGATGTGTTGGTTGGGATTTTTCTTCTCAGGTGCCTGCTTGTTTGATGGATTGGTTGCAGGGGGTTTTTGAGAGGATAAAAGGTGATGATTTACAAAAGGTGGCATGGGGCTGTTGGGGATTATGGATGGAGAGGAATAGGCGGGTATGGCAAGGGGAGAGTCTTAGTCCTTATGAGGTTATGCATCGAGCTTGGAGTTTTGTGGACAATTGGTGTTCGGCTCAACAGAAGGAGAAAGGAGCTAGGCAGGCTTCCCTGGAGAATCGTGAGCAGCGGTGGAAAAGACCTCCAGAGGGATGGTTGAAGCATAGTTTGGGTTGGGTGGTTCGGGATGCTGCTGGGAATTTTGTTGCCGGGGGTGCTCACAGATGCGAGGGTCGGTGCTCTCCGCTGGAGGCAGAACTCCTGGGAATAAGAGAGGCTTTGTGTTGGTTGCGAGATCAAGCTTGGGACTTCGTTATGATTGAATCAGACTCTTTACAGGCAATCTCGGAGATTAAACAGGGAGCAAGTCTTTCGTCGGGAGGATTGCTGGCAGAAGATATTAGAGAATTAAGCTCGGGTTTTAATAATAATTCTTTTTCTTTCATTAGACGTTCAGCGAATAGGGTTGCCCATACATTAGCTAAGGGTGTCTGTTCTTTGTCTGATAGTCAAATCTGGGTGGTTACACCTCCGAGCTGTATTATGGATGCTTTATCTTTCGATTTGATTAATGATAATTAAGTTGATTCCTTCCAAAAAAAAAAGAGAATGGGGGTGGCAGTCCATTCCCTTTTAATGTGTACGAAGCATTTATTATTATTGTTAATTATTTATTTAATTAGTAAGAGGTATTGGTCCTAGTTGGACACTTGGACTAGAACTCATTAATGAGGAAGTGAGAAACTAGTTTAGAACTAGTATAAATACTAGTTCTATAATTTATAGATCAGTTTATAAATCAGTTTTCTAGATTCAATATTACTTATTTACTTATTTATCACCACTAGGCTGGAAGATCTGTAAGTTCTAACTCAGATCTGTTATTATTGTTATATTCATTATTTTGTCATAATCAGCGATCTGTTTGGAAAAATTTTAAACTTCCGCTGATGTACTTTTTTCGAGGTACGTTGCATAAATGTAGTACTACCTCCGTCCCTAAATACTTTGTCATCTTTGACTTTTCAAGTCAATGGTGGTAAAATTTGGACCATGATTTTGATTAGTATACTATTATGAAAGTGATAAGTTTTATACTTTTATGAAAGTACTTTTAACAACGAATAATTTGATATAATTTTTGTATTATAAATATTTTCTTATAAAAATATATAATTGGTCAAAGTTGAACATGTTTGACCGAAAAATTCAAAGATGGCAAAGTAAAAAGGGACGGAGGGAGTATGACTTATCGGCCGGAACGGGCCTACACCCTAATCCAAGCCCATCCATATGATATTGCGGGGCGGACTGGTGGGTAAATATATATGCCCAAGCCCGCCCATTTACGGGCCCGATTTTGGGCAGGTCTCATAAGGAGTAAAGTTTTGTGGGGTGTGGCCGGCCATGTGGGTCTTACGATTCCGTTGCTTAAAAGTCTCTCTAAATACGGAGTAACACCTATCCAAACAAGAAGAATTCTTGGTGTACACGTTTTTATACCTATCAGTACACGCATGTGTCTGTGAGAGTTATTTTTTGTCTGTGAAGTGCAGTCCACAGACAAAAGCTGGTTTGTTTTGTCTGTGGAAAATTTCACAGATAAAACAAGCCAACTTATGTTTGTGGACTGCGCTTCACACACAAAAAACACTCACACACACACAAGTAATGGGTATAAAAACGTGTACAAAAAGAAATTTTCATCCAAACAAACCGTAAGCTCACAGCGACACAGCCATGGCAGACTAGCAGTATCGCAGTCATCATCTGGATACAACGTAACTCCTTATTCGTCGCTCCGCGTGAAACGCTGAGACAATGAATTTCCTATCAAAAATACTCTCGCGCTCTCGCCTGCTGTACTCACAGCCAAGAAAAGGCATTCTCTTTACACAAACCCTAGCTTCCCTCCAACCAGTGTCCTGTTGTTCCTCTTCAGGACTCAGAGAACGCTCATGTTCAACTACATCGTACGTATTAAACTCCCCGAAACTTGCAAAGGAATCCGGTGCCGCGTCGTCTTGGCGCAGGCCCAGTGAGATTCCTTTCCAAGGTAAGGCTGCGAATTCTGTTAAGCTGGTCGGTTGTGTGCGGCGCCCAGTTCAGTTCCAGACCTTGACTGACGGTAAATCCGTAGCGGCAACTATTATTGAGCAAGATAACCGTGAACTGGGAACCGCACTGTCTTTTCCCATGCCTTATGTGCCTTGTTTCTTGATTCCTGTTGTATTTGAGGGTGATTTAGCTCATGTTGTGAAATGCCATGTGAAGGAAAGTGACTGTGTCTTTGTGTCTGGGAAATTGTGTGGAGACCCTTTGCCTTTTGCTGTAGGTGATTATGAAGGGAGTTTTCATATTTTGGCCCAAGATGTCTACTTTGTGCAGGGTGTGGAGGAGAAGGCTGTTGCCAAGGAAACTGAGGAAATAAATTCTGACTCAGAAACTGTACATGTTGTGGAAGAAGGAAAGGCTGTTGGCAAGAAAAATGTGGCAGCAAGTAAAACTTCCCTCAAGGGATTTAAGGTGAAGGAAGTAAAAAACGGGGCCACAGATTCTGATTCAAAGACTTCCCCTCAGGGTTTTAAGGTGGATGAAATAAATATTGAGGAAAAAATATCCTATTCAGAAACGGATCCTGGGGGTCCTGAGGTGAAGGAAATTGAAAATGGTGCTGCATATGATGTTTCAGAAGGTACCATGTTAAGCTTAGAAAATGGGGATCAGAATGAGGTTAGTAGAGTGGGAAAGACCAGTATGACCAAAGGTGGTGCTGCTGGAAGTGAAGATTGGTGGGATGTGATCAACCATCCAAATGATTGGCAAGATTACCGGAAAAGGAAGTCTGAGGGAACTGTGAAACCTAAGCACCCGGATTTTAAGCACAAGACAAAAGGTATTGCACTGTGGCTTAATCAGGCCACCCCAGCGGTGCTTAAAGAACTTGACCGAGTGGGCTTTAGTTCAGAACAGGTTAAGAAAGGGAAGGAGGAGCTATGGAAGAGTTTGGCGGAGAATCCTGGTAAATGGTGGGATAACAGGACAAACAAAAGAAATGAAAAAGGTCCTGACTTCAAAAACAAAGATTCAGGTGAAGTGTTGTGGTTAAGAGATGCACCCGGTTGGGTAATTTCCAAGCTGCCACCTCTTCCAGACATCCCAAACACTGCTTCAGCTTCCACCAAACGACAGGTAAGATAAACAAGTCGACTGAAATCTCCAGTAATAACATGATGTAGACTCTTGGTGCTTGGATCAGTTGCGGATGCACTTCAAACCACAATCCTTTTTGTTGACACACTTGACAGTGTAGGGTAGGGGTTGTATTGGGCCGGTTCTGGTCCGGTTCAGTACTGGCATTTCTAATGTCTACTAGGAAAGATTCCCTTTTCAATGTGTTGCTACCGTTAGCATTTAAAAAGCAAATGTGTATCCTTTAAGTAACATTAATTATACTTTATAGAGAAGTGATTAATTTACAACATTCTGAAGGATATGATGTACAACAACGGTAGTTTAATCACAAATAATTAGGGACAGCTATATTGGCCAATTTAGAAAATCTTCTGATGTCATCAACTAATATCCTCACTCCTCAGTTTTCACTTGTGTTCATGAAGTTGCAAGTTTACAATGCTGTGATGTTTCATTGGCCTTCAGTTCATGGCATTTGGTCTACCACAACATCATTCGTGCTTGAATCAATGCTTGGTTCTTCCGTGTATTCTCTTCGAAAACTGTTTATGCATTCCATGTGAATATGTTCTTTGTAGCGTTTCACGTATCCATCTTAACACATATCACCCTCACTAATTTTTAATAGATATTTCATAAAGGTCCAGCATTCTGGCCCGAATGTTAAAGCCGGTCTCATGAAAGTAATTAAATATTTTTCATTTCGTCTTAGGGAAAGAGGCACAGTAGATCGAATGGTGTTTATTGCTCCTATTTTGACCAATCTGCCAAAAAATAGATAGTACAAAGTTGTGACACACGTGATCATTGTGTATGACATTGTTGCAGACTTGCCGTGTCTTCTTCTTTTGTATAGTGCTCCCCATTTTTGCTATGATAATTCAAACTTTAAAGTTTCAACCACTTAATTTATTCCTCCGCTACTACTCTAAGATTTTGGGGCAGTAGAATTTCTTATTATAGAGTTCACAGTTTTTGGTACAATCAAATGGTGTGAGCGATGGTGGAACTGGAATGACCCTTTCAGAAATTGGAACAGAAAAAACTGATAACTTGATTACTTTTAGTAGGATCTTTTTATGCATTTCTCCTCTGTAGATTTTCCATGTTCTCTTCATAATGAAGAAGAAATATTTTAGATGCTGTAGTGAGCTTAGAAGTTAGTGGACAAATCTGTGTTGTGCTCACTCGAGACACAGTCTTCTTTTGCGGTAGACTACCTCAGTTTATATGGTACTGCCACTTTTCATAAAAGAAGGTTACACTTTGAGCATTAAAATATGACAATCACATCAGAGCTACATGATTTATATTAAATCTTTCAACATTGAAACTTGTGTTTATATGGCTACATGATTCATGTTACTTTTTGAAGGATGCATGATATCTTCTATTTTTATGCATGTACTCCCTGTTTTTATTCAATCCCTTTTTTGTAGGTATGGTCGGAATGCAAATTCTAAAGAAAATCCAGACATTCAAGACAACAATCCTTCTGAGGTTTTTGAAGAGGCTTATCTCTTTCATTTCAATGGAAACTGTGATTTTTTGAGAATGTTCTTGATGTAAAATGCTATTATTACTATACGATTATCTGGAAAATAGTATCATTGAAAAATAAATATATCATCCACTTTTTGGCATTTTTAGTACGGAGTATATACATGTGTACCTAATGGAATGTTTTAAAAAGTACGATCCCTTTTCTTTTAAAAGATAAACTTGCTTTTGATCCGACTGTTTATATTTTATACTCCCTCCGGTTCACATTCTTCTTTACACTTTCCTTTTTGGACCGTCCCATAATCATCTTTACGCTTCCTTATTTGCCTTATTTCGCAAACAAATCTGCACAAAACAGTGTCAAACAGTGTTCAAACAGTGTGAAACAGTGCCAAATAGTGTACTCTACAGTAAAGTCAAATTTATTTCCTTAAAAACCGTAAAATGAAACTGTAAAGAAGAATGTGAACCGGAGGGAGTAATAGTTTTGGCTTCTAAGTAATTCCAGTAAAATTGTTTGTGTTGCGGGGACGGGCATGGAGATATGTATAATGTTTTCACAGGGAGAGAAAATGTATAGTGATCTTATAAAGAAAAATATATAGTGACTATTTAATGGCGATGACAAAAGAACACAGGCCATGATTCCGATTTTCAAGACTCAAGTGTAGTGTTTACTTCTAGTTGAAGCTTATCAATCTTGGTTTTCATTTTTATTAGAATGACAAAAGAATATCGGTCAACTTTCTCTTTATGCATATACAATGTCATAAAATATTGTTAATTATTAAATCACGGATCTATTGATTTTTCGAAATGATTGTTAGATTAAAAAACGAAAGCAAAAGTCATATATTACGTATAACAAAAGATAATTGAATCGTCAATGATATGTGTGTGCCCGCGTATAGGTTAGGAAGACCTACACACTTTAGAGTTTAGAGTAATGATAAGGAAGACCTCACTATGATTTCCATCTGCAGATCTGCTTCTCGTATAGATTGTAAAACAAATCCCCACGTTTGCAGAACAAACATTTTAAAATCACAAAGCATGCTTTCAGAATCCAGATTGCTTACCTAGGCACCTCTAAAAATGGCTCAGCAAAGCAGCGTATACCTACTGGTACTGGAGCCTTGATAGGAACCCTATCAGAGCCTTAACGATACTGGGTATCGAATGGGGACTGGGGAGTTTGTCTACTTCGGTAAATCTCCATGATCCTAAAACATCTTAGGATTTGAAACTGTCTAACACCATATATTAGGAGTGGACATGATCCCGGATTCCCGGGTCTCGGGACCGGACTGTTTTTAAACAGAACTGGAAGTCTGGAACCAGCCCGACAATTCCGGGTCGGGCAATATACAGATGGTAATCCTGGCCAGTCCTGAGACCAGAACTGGCCCTGAACAGCTCCACCCCTACCACACATCAACTTGGACAGCACATTATATACGCAAAATGGGTGTCAACCTATCTATGGGACTAAGATATATGCATTCTGTGAAGGCTGAGATGCTAAAATACAATTTTGGTAAGCATTGAAGATAAATAACCCTCATAAACTTTAAAGTTCCACAATCTTTACAACATGTGCAATATGGGGAGGTACATAGTTCATTAGTGGCTAGAGCCGGAAGGTGTGAGATCATCACCAACATCATCCATCACAAGTTTAACTCCGTTGTTCTTGAGGCCATTGACTATAGCCCAAACCTTGGTGCGGTTCTTGAAGCCCTTCTTCTCAACCTCCTTGGTTACATTGACATGGATTCCACTTCCCCCTCCACCTTGATCGATTCCCTCCACTTTGAGGCGCCTGGCCAAGACCTCTCCCACAACTGCAGCAGCTTTGGCATTGCAGCTTCTCCCACATTCAAACGAGTTCTTGAGCGAGTGCTCGACGCTGGACGCTGTTGCAACTATCCTACCGTTGTTCCTGTCTATCACATTTGCAGTTATGTACTTCAAAGATATGAACAATCTCAAGACGTACCTCTTCACCACCACCATACCCTGTGAACTCAAACACTTCCATTAAGAAATGTGTGTGTGTGTGTGAGAAGAGAGAGAGAGAGAGAGAACTTCAAAAAAGCTGATGAAGCAGATCCTTTAAGGAATGTTTGGTTGGGAGATTTTGGAGGGAAGGCAAGGGAATCTTCATATTTGTTTGATTAATTTATCTTTATTTAAATGTCTTGTTATAGAATAAAAAACAGTATATTTAGTAAAATAAAGTATTCCTATATAACTTCTCATCTTCAATTTAATCCAATCATCAAAATGTAATAATAAATTGATAAAATAAATAGCATTCCTCCACTTTCCTCCCCTCCAATAAATGTTCATCAAGGCTGCACAAAGCTGAAAAACCATCTAAGCAATTTGAAGGAATGATAACCAAGCTTAAATATATGAAAGTTAACCGGGTATTAGCATATAATGCAAATAAAATCAAGCCTCAAAAGTATAACAAGTAAATCAAATTTAAGAAAAAATAACTTCTCCATCATTTCAAGATTTGATTATTATTTCATTTCCAGCGAAGGTAGCACGCCGGAACGTAGTTCAAAAAAATCTCCCAGAGTCCACAATTCCAGTTCCCATGAAATGACAAGAGAAACGAAGTGGTATACCAATAAAACTGGGAAAGAGCAATGTGCTTTTAGCTAGAGGAAATAGATATTGAAGGACATCGGAAGTTTCCAAGTTGCAGAGTTTAGGATAGAAGAAGCCATGGGTATGAATGAGATAAAGAAACTGAAAAATAGCTGCTTTATAGAATTGCTATTGGAAAAGAAATCATTCAAACATTCTATAGGCTCAAAGCAAGATAAAAGCAAGAAGCCAAGAACATCTATAGTTAAAACTTTAATAAAGTTCAAAACACATTTCTGATACTAAACATTTATCTTGTTAAACATCATGACCTTGTCTCTATTTGTTACTAAATTGGTATTGGGATCTAAGACAAACCAATGTCATCTTAGAATGATGGAATCAAAGCTAAATGTTTAAGACGAAAAGGAAATGTAGATCAAGCTTCTTGGACCAAAAACAAAATTCAATTGAAGAAAAGGGAAAGAGTATACTTTAAAGATGGAAGGTGGGAAAGTGCTACAATATGTCTAGAAAAAATAGCAGCAGCAGGTTAAATGGGTGCTTCCTCCATTGTGATGATGTTAAAGTAGAATGAAGCTTGATTATCAAATGCAAAACTGACAAGGAAATTAAAAGCAGACCAAGTTTTAGCACTGTATGAAAATATATACAGTATATTGCTAAACTATAGCATAGTCGTGAAGGTAGCTAGCAGTAAAAAAATACATGGAACTTTAGACAAAACAGCCAAAATAGAGACCAACTTGGGAAGTGGCGGATCTAGCACCTTTGTTTTTGGTGTTCGAGATTAATTTAAAATTAAAATTAAGAACATTAATCTTGTGTGATGCAACTATTTTACCATTGTATCTTTTTCAACAAAAAACTAAAACAGTGAGTAAAGCTACTAAAGCAGCTTATTTTTCTTGGTGCCAAAGGTTTTTGTGAAAATGATCTAAATGTCATTGTTACCGATCGTCATAAACACATCTCGCTCAATAATAGTCATAAACACAATTTTAAATTCTTGGCAGAATATAGCTATTAAATCTTGCAAGTATTGACACAGACAATGAATCAAATCAAGCAAACAAGTGAACAACAATAAAAGTATACTTCTCAACATCTTCCTTCACACATTCATTTATTTACTCATTTATAAAATTGTAGGTTAGCTTAAATTCTGTGGTACAGGTAATCTAAAAATAAAATGAGATTAGGTTTCAAAAAAGTCCTACTTACTCCGCCCGAATTGATTTGCAATTTGATATTTTCAAGTTTGACACCCGATAAACTTAAATCCTTCTGAATTGATTTGCAATTTGATTTTTAAGTTTGACTAATGATGAACTTAAATCCCCCACGTGTATAGTTAAATGAGTTTTACTACGTAAAACGGAGTACTTAAAAGTGGCATATAAGGAAACTGGAAACTGGGTTTAATTGTCTATAGTATCAAAATTTAAATTAAAATATAGTAAAAAGAGGGATTAATAGAGGTTATCAGGTTCTTCCAAAAAAACATATAGAGGTTATCAAGTGGATAGATTTATAGCCATAGATCAATTACGAGAAGTCAACTACTTACCGGCTACCGTCAACCGTCTGGGGAAAAGCTGAATCCCAAGGAACAAGGAGAACTGGAGAAGGCGATGAGTCGAGCCGTGGAGGACTGACCAGGATGGGAAGTTGGGTTGGAGAGAGGTGATCGACGGATGATGGAGGAGCAGAGGCCGGCGGAGCCTGGGGGTGAGGGACGCGAGGCTCAGGCGTGAATGGCGAGTAACTTAGAGCATCCCCACATAATTCCTTTTAGTCCTCAAAAGTCAAAACTACTACTCCGTAATCCGTATGTGACATTTTTTGTATTCAATTTGAGTTTTTTCTTTTAATTTTCCCATTATTATTTAAACTTAAGTGTCTTTGGCACAATAATTTAAAAGGAAAGTTCCCGAAATAGGACTGTCATGTTTTTATTCCTAAAATAGGACTAATTACTGTCAATTTGGAAAATACTGCATGTTTGAAGTCTGGTACTGCCAAAACATAACAGTAATTAGTCCTATTTTGGAAATAAAAACATGGAAGTCCTATTTTAGGATTTTCAAACTTTTTTAGTCCTATTTCGAGTAATATCTCTAATTTAAATAATACCAATTGTCACTAGTGAATGAATAAGAGTACATATTATAGAAATAATTATCTCATAGTAACCCAACCTCAAACTCAGCCATCAATTCATCAAATTCAATGTTTAATTAATACTCCCTCCGTCCCAAAATTATTTTCCTGTTTGGTTTTTCACACAAATTAAGAAAATGACACTGTAGCGACACTATTTGGCACTGTAGCGAAATGCATATGATAAGAGTCTACATCTATCTGATTATGATGAATTTCTTTTTTCAGTTACTTGAACACATTATTTTTCTATAAAGATCTTTTTACAATAGAGCAAATCATATCCATGTAAACTTTTGAGAAAGAGAATGTTATTCTCAAGTAGAAGTACATTTTAGTTGCTTTAATTTTTTTTTAGATGATGTGTATTTAATACGAGTACGTAGTATGTAAGCTATTCCAAGTGCAGTTAATCGGGTATGTTTAAATGTATTTTTTTTCTAAATTTATCATTTTTGTTTAAATTAAAGATAACTCAAGTACATTAGTACACTTGTCATTGATTTTAAACTACGGAGTATTAATTAAAGAGTGTAGCTATCTTTTTTTTTTTTGAACGAAGAGTGTAGCTACGTATGTATCCATTTTTGTTTTAAGCATTCAAATTGGTTAGTTGTCGAAACAAATCGGCAGGATTAAACAAAGATAATATACGTGGAGACCACAGCCCCAGGCCGCCAGCACGGCGAGTGGGGTCAGGACTTGCCAAAACCAGCTGGTAGTTTCAACTTCGCTCTTTTATTACATCGTCAGCTGCTCTTTGGTAAGATCTGAGATCCCTTTCTCTCTCCCTCTCTCCATCTGACAGCGGACGGAGTAAGAACCAAGCCTCCCTTCCATTTCTCTAATCCCATTCTTTTCGTGCACACAAAGGGAGCTAGCTCTATGGAGAAGGGTGGGAGAAACAGAAATCTTTGAGATCTGGTGGCTAGCTCTCTCTCCCAGCTGCAGGTGCTCTTCAGCTCCGTTTTGCTTCAAATTTTTGCCCTGATACTTTTTTTTGTTTAGTAGATTTTATTTCCGCTTTTATGGGTATTCTTGAGATTTCATTATCCCTTTCGTGCAATGCATCTCAAGAACTGAATAACTGTCGGTTGTCATTGGATCTTGTAAATTGTTTCTTCTTGCTCAGCTGTTTTTTTTTGTTGCTGACGAAGTTATGTCATTCTGGAGATTCAAGTTCATGTTTTTTTTAACTCTGGTGATTGTTTATTCTCTCTGGTGAAATGTAGCCTTATTGGTTGTTGAAAAACTTCAATCTTTTGTTTTCACTACCCATTAAGCAATGACGAAATCTTTTTTACTTTGCAAGTTGCAACCACAGTTAGCCCTTTAGGTGTGCTATATGTAGGTCCGTGTTTCTCCCTGCCTACTTATATAATGCATTATCTTTAGGATCGTTATATCTTTTGTTCTTGAAGCCTATTAAGATTTGAGGATATGGTTAATATGGTATTGGATTCAATTAAACTCAATACTCCAATAAAAGAGCACACACATTTCAAAATTTGCTTGACATGTTAAGTTATTTAAGATATGCTAAATGTAAAAATACAAACTCAGACATCATGTTTTCACTACTTATTTTATTAGAATGACCTTTTATTATGAACATAGTTTCTCTGCACGATGAGCCTGTGATTGTAGGAAAAATCAATAGCTTTCACTACTTCTCTTATTAGATTGACCCTTTTAAGATGAACAGATAGTTTCTCTGCACGATGAGCCTGTAATTGTTTGAAAAAATTGTGTCCCTGTAGATTCAAAAGCATAAAATCAATACTTTCAAATAATGGTTTGTGGTCTGGGACACAACAGGAAATTCGAGGAATTAAAGTATAAAGAAGAATGGGGAAGAAAGGGAGCTGGTTTTCTTCAGTGAAGAAGGCTTTCAGCCCTGAATCTAAGGTAAAGGAAGACTGTTTTGTAATCCACTGTGATCACAGTCTATTGTTACTTGGAGTATTGCTGCTCTATAGGATGCTTTAACATTTTCCCATCTTTTTTGCTTTTCTGTGCCTCCGATTTTTTTAGAAAGGAAGAAAAGCAAATAAAAAACGGTTGGAGAAAGAACAGGCTCAGGTTCCAGACTCCTCAGTTTTGGAAACTCCTAGTGTATCACTGCAACCACCTCCGCCTCCGCCACCACCACAAGAGGTGGAATTGTCTGAAGTGGAGAACGAGCAAACAAAGCATGCTCTCTCGGTTGCAGCTGCCACCGTGGCAGCCGCAGAGGCTGCTGTAGCTGCTGCCCAGGCTGCCGCAGAAGTTGTTAGGCTAAGTTCCCCAAATCAATTTGCAGGAAAGTCAAAGGATGAAACCGCTGCCATCAGAATTCAGACTGCGTTCCGAGGATATCTGGTATGCATTGTTAACTGTATATCTCAAATGCTTAACTTTGTTTACCATTTGTATAAATTAGTCGCATCTTTTATGTTAATGAATTTGTCCCACATCGACTATATATGAAATAACAAATGAACAATGGAGAGCCACACAATGATTATGAATTGGGTTGATTCTAAGTCCATATTAAACTCTGAGTTGACCTTTGACGATGAAATGTTGAAGTGTGAATAGTTTTTAGAGGTGTTTACTATTCGAGTTCTACCAAATGCAGGCTAGGAGGGCATTGAAGGCCCTAAGAGGACTCGTGAGGCTGAAATCACTTATTGATGGGCCTACTGCCAAAAGGCAAACTGCAAGTGCTCTTAAATGTATGCAGAGTCTTTCGCGTGTACAGTCTCAGATTCATTCCAGAAGGAATAGAATGTTGGAGGAAAATAGAGCTCTCCAAAAACAGATTATGCAGAAACATGCCAAGGAACTGGAGAACTTGAGGGTGAATATTTCTCTTCCAAATGACAACCTCCATTATGGCTTTTGAGACTATTCGAACTACCATTTTTAATAATTCTCTAGTTGATTAATATGAAAGGATTTAACATCTAAAACTTCAGTAAAGAACAAAACTCTTTTTTGATTTAACACTTTCATATCAACCATAAATCTCATGACAGTGATTAAGGTACTGACAATAACGATGAGGCTTACTAATGATCTCTCTTTATATCTTTGACAGAGGGGAGAGGAGTGGGATGATAGTGTACAGTCAAAAGAGAAAGTTGAAGCAAACTTGTTGAGCAAATTTGAAGCTGCTATGAGACGAGAAAGAGCACTTGCTTATTCATATTCCCATCAGGTATTTAACAATTCTTTCTTTGCATTTTCAAGCCATTCAAGATGGCAATGCTTAGGTCCACTGGGTATCTAGGAGTCCTACACTCGGTCAGTCGGTTGTCACCATTAGTTTATTATAACATTATTATCTGAGTATCTAAATTGATTTATACCATAACAAAGTCTTAAGATCATCATAAGAAATATTAGTTGATCATTATGAAATACGAGTATATGATAGATTTAGTTTTTTTAAAAGACAAATGTATGACTAAAATAAAAGTAGTGGACAAAAAAGCATTTTTTTACTACACGGTGACTATGAGAGTACTTTCATAGTGATTGTAGTAACTAGTAACCATGAAATCACATTTTTATCCATAAGTTTAGTTTTAGTAAATAATACAGGGAAACCCCTTTGAAAAAATGTAAGCCAAATCCTTAACTTTTAGGAATATAATGGCAGCATGACTTCTGATTAACTTGCAAATCCCTCAACTTGACAGAAAACTTGGAAGAAGTCTTCAAGGTCTGCAAATTTGTTGTTTATGGACCCCACAAATCCACAGTGGGGTTGGAGCTGGTTGGAACGGTGGATGGGGGCTAGACCTTGGGAGACAGATGCCGTGCCAGGGAAAGAGATTAAGAACGACCAGTTGTCAGTGAGAGGCGAAAGTAGCATAATTGTGGGAGAGATTACCAAGTCATATGCTCGCCATCTGCTATCTACAGCTGAACAGCCCTCTTCACCGTCCCCAAGTCAAAAGCCAAGTCACTCTTCAGCTCGCCATTCCCCTGCTACTCCTCCTTCCAAACTACCGCCGGCCAGAAAACTAAAATCACCAAGCCAGAGAGCAAGTGCCATCACCGCCCAAGATGATGACGCAAGAAGCGTGTTGAGTGTCCAGTTAGAGGGAAATGGGACGAGGCGGAGGAGGCATAGCATTGCTGGATCATCATCATCCGTTAGAGATGACGAGAGTTTGTCAAGCACCACATCTGTACCCAGCTATATGGCACCCACTCGTTCAGCAAGGGCCAAGACACGCTTGCAGAGCCCTTCAGATGTGGAGGAGGAGAGTGGCCCTGCTGCTGCTGCTGTTCCCGTTAAGAAGCGCCTTTCCTACCCACTGTCTCCTGCTAGCAGGCCTAGGCGGTACTCAGGCCCTCCCAAAGCCCAAAACATCTCTATTATCTCAACCTAATTGAAACCATTGCTGAGATCCATTCTTCATTTTTCTTCAATACTAGTCTTGTACCAATAAGATGTGCTGGTGCTCGTGTTTGTTGCCTATATATAAAGTGAGAGATAGTAAAAGCAGGAAATTAATGGCACGTTCCATTTATTTTCATACATCAACATCTCTATACCCAATTCTTAATTCATTATTACTGTGTCAAGTGGCCCTCCGGAGTTTCTTTGGGCTACTCTTGCTATATATGTAACTCTCTTCCACTTGTCGAAGATTGTAATACTTAGATATTTTATGTACTTAAATGAATGAATAATTCTTATCTTACTTCATGTCTGTGTGAGCGTACTTCGTGATGTACCCCAAGAAAGGAAGTTAGATGATCGTTAACTTCTTTTTGTACTGAAATATATACTTCGATAGCTAACAAATCATACTTTATTACATTGTACTATGTATTAATTACGTTGTATTATTCTTACATCGTGATAGACCCCAATTCCCAAAGGACATGTTTAATTTGTGGATTAATAAAGAATGCTTATTGTATTATTCTTACATCGTGATAGACCCCAATTCCCAAAGGACATGTTTAATTTGTGGATTAATAAAGAATGCTTATTGTATTATTCTTACATCGTGATAGACCCCAATTCCCAAAGGACATGTTTAATTTGTGGATTAATAAAGAATGCTTATTAAACCTTGTGTTAGTAAGACATTTCTTAATAAGTAGCTTAAGTATGTGTTTACTTCATAATCAGTTTGGGCTTTATTAATCCAAAATTTCTTTACTTCATTGGGCATAAAAGAATGGAAAGTTGTTACTTGGGATGTGGACTGATCTAAAAGAAAGGTTAGATCAAGGTGGATGCCTGCAGGGTTCCAGATTTATGTGAATCTGGGAAATGGATTTGTTATTGTTTTTTACAAGCGACATAAAACCTATTGGGAGAAACTGTATTTCTTAGGCTTATTCCTCCTCAATGGTCCTAAGTGTGCCTGTAAAAGAAAATTTGCTGAGATCAGGACATATTTTAAAAATGACTACATGCCCGTATGTTCAAAAGGATTGAATGAGGAATATAAGCAGATTAGGTCACAAAATGTATCCTGATTCTATCCCTTCCATGAATTTGTCTGTTGGAAAAGTTAGGTATTATAGAGAAAAAAATACAGGAGTCATGAAAACACACACTCCAGCCACTGTTTGAATTCCACTACTTTTCTCAAAAGAACAATACTACGTATACAAGAGAAAATTAAGCACCATTCATTCACATTTTTAAAAAGAGAGGGTTGATACAATCACTTCAGTTCTTATGATCACTTCAAAGTTCAAATCTGAATACCAATTATTATACTACGTATATACATACGTGTGTGGACGCACGTATGTATGTTGATAAGTTCATATTTCAACACACATTTGATGCGTGTTGGGATTGAGTTTTGTCACTTTTCCTAATTAATTTGAGTTACAAAGTATTTAATTAGCTCAAGTCACGGTTTACCGGATTTGGTTTGCATTTATTGAGAAAATCAGGAATTTGGACCCGACATCGGCGTTTAAGCTAAAGTCGAGAAGATTCGGGATATGTTCAAGAGCTAGCGAGAGGCATCGGAGATCCACGGGATGATTTAAAGGCATGATTTGAGGCTTGGGAGGTTGAAGATTGAAGATAGGGTCGATCAGGATCGAACGGAGAAGAAAATAGCAAGAAAACGATTCTACAGCAATCCGCACGCCCCGCGGGTCGGTACCCGCACACCCCGCGGGTGATTCTGAGAGCAAGAATTCAAGAAGTCTGAACCGCACTATGTGCGGCTGAAACTGCACGCCCTGCGGTTCAGAAGTATCTGCACTATTGTATAGTGCGTGTTCCGCACATAGTGCGGGCGGAGCAAAATTTTAATGCGCGGAATGACGCCTGCGCGCCCCGCAGGTTGATTTTCGCCCCAAATGTCCTATTTCGGCCTAGATTTATCCGTTTTCTATTTAAACACCCCGTAAACCCCCGTTTTGAAGGGGGGGAGCTTAGAGAGAGGCCTAGGGATGATATTTTATGTATTTTTTCCCCTTTGTTCTTCAAGACCCTGTGATTATTTGTAGGTTCAATCTTTTTAATTAATGACAATTATTTCTATTCAACCCAATTCTGTTGATTCTTCAATTATAAGTTGGGAGTAGTTTAATCAGGGATTTGAGATTGATGGAGTTAATCATGATGTATGACTAGTTTCTTGATGGATTAATTGCATGAATGCCGTTTATTTTGTGTTTGATTAATTTAACTGATATCTCTTGTAACCTAGAATCGCGAGTAGAATTACAATTGCTTGTAGAATAAATTAAAAGAGGTCTAGTTTATTCTAGGACACATTCACACACTTAATCGCTCGCTAAGAGATTAATAGCGATTAAGGGGTCGTAAGCTCACTCGTTTTGACAATAAATTAGGAACTTGTCGCATGAGAGATCAGTCTGGTCCCCTAAATTATTGTACTTTACGACGCGAGAGCGGTAAGAATTTAGTAATGATTAGGTACTCAATTAAATTAATTTCATGTAATTAAGTCTGATCTGGTAGAAATCTGGCTACTCTGGAATCAATCCATGTTCCATTCGTTATTAATTGGAAAGAACCCCCTAGTTTAATTGTTTTATTCACATTAGTTAATTTTCAAACCAATCAATCTCGCACCATTGCATTTATTTTTATTTCCTTTTAATCGTTGAATTTAGTTAATTCTTATTTTCCTTTTGTTCGTCCATATGGAGACAATACTCGTACTTAAACTCTATATGTGCATTAAAAATTAGTATCCATTGCAGAGCTAAATTAATATCTTAGTTTAAGAACCAATAAAAGCGTTAAAAATTAGAGGTATGAATCGATTTCTGATAACAAGAGTGGTATTAATATCCACTGTTTTAGAGCTAAATTAATATCCACTGCCGGCTGCAGGCATTAAACCCACCGGAAAAATCAGACCCTAGAGAACCCTAGAAAACGACCGCCACTCTTCAAAGACTTTCCTCTCGAGACTTTCTCTCTCTAAATCAATGAATCTAATAAAAACTCTATACTTTTTTTGGGGGGGAAAACTCTAAACTTAATCGCAATGTAGAAGGTAATGAATGAATAAGGGAAGATAATGTGTCTAGCGGAGGAAGAAGTAAAATGCCGATATGAAATGGTCTCTTTCAGACTCCTGTAAATGGTCTCTCTCAGAATAATACTAGATGTATTATTCTTTCATAGCACTATTGATACTAGAGAAAATGAATGCATGTACATCAATTGCTAGTGCACAAGCATTGAGTAAGAAATGTTCTACTTGCAATCCAGAACTATGGGGTAAAAAGATACAGTTGTACGTATAAAGGGTCAGGTGTATATTGATCTCGCTATCAGCTTTTAATCCATTTTTATTGTTATGACTACTATAACTCTACTCTCAGCAGGTAATGCTAACAAACAACAGCCTGTGTGTACTAATGTTACTAGCCAGACAAAACTCTGGTCTCTCGAGATGGTATTATTGCAAAGAATAGACCTACAAAGTACAAACTTATGAAGTCATCTCCCTCAAAGTAGGGATGCTATTGTTTGATTGCTGCTTTCTTTCTTCCACGGTTTGAAGAAGGGACTTTGCGCAGCCTCGGAGCATAGTCAAGGCGGTAACCGATTAGTGAATCTCCAAAATAGCTAAACGTCCCAGCACCGTTGAAAGCACTTTCAGCATCACAGCGCCTCCTGAACACGACTTTTGCACGCTTCGTCTTATGTGTGGCTTCAGTCTGATACTCATCAATAGGCCCAAATTGACCAAGCATTTCATTCAGATATGCTGCTGACGGAACACACTCCAGGCTTTTAAATGTGAGAATCAGTGCAGTTGGATAGTCTTCCTCAGCTTCCCCATCTGCATCTCGGTGTAGATCATCGCGACTAATCTTCTCATATTGAGTTTCAGTGTCAAATAGAACATGTTCTTCAAGGTTCAACTGTCCATCAACAAGACTAACCGGATCATTCTTCTCATATTGTGCTGCAGGTGTACAAAATACCAGCTGTTCAGGATTTCCCTGAATAATTCTATTAGTCCAGTACGAATCTTCTACGCCATCAACAACAGATGATTCGGTTGTTCCATCATTGGATGGGCCGACTCCATGACACTCTCTTACCAAAGTTTCACCACCGCCTCTATGCTCGGAGCTGTTCTCAGATGAAGTAAAATCCCTTAAGCCAGAGAAAAACTCAGTGAGTGGAGCCAAAATGGCATATCCATTAGTCGGATCTTTGGCAGCAATAGAAAGCTTTAAGAAAACATTATCTAAAGTAGGGAACAATTCTTCTATTCTCTTCGGTTTTAACTCACTCAATATCAAACTGCTTTCATTGAGATTATTATTAGTATCCGAACAAATACTGTCGATCATGTCATCAGTTTCAACCTTCACAACATCAGGTATACTTGAAATGTTGCCATGCACCAATTCTTCTTTTCCCCTAATGCCCTTCATATTCTTTGACAGTCGTCTACGCTTTCGAGAAGATCCATCTCCCATGGTTGGTTTCTCTTTCCCAGATGGGACACAGGAATCGCCAGTCAAAAATGGAGGAGCAGATCTTCCTTCCACTCCTGGGGCTATATTGCTGCCAGCATCAAATCTCAATAGTCCCTGAAACTCTTTATATGTAGCTGGTAGCTCATAATTGCCTTTCCAGTGGCTGAACTCCAGCAGCTGATATCTTGCTGCTAGAAATCCCAGTCTATCAGTAATGCCCCGCGGGGAAAGAGCTAGTGACTTCAAATATTGAAGAAGCACTAGCGGCCTGAAAGAAGCCATGGCTGACAGTTTTTCACTGTCATCTCTTTGATTTGATTCTGCCTTGAAACCCGAACAGACCACAATCTGGGATTCAGATTTGTACTGCACTTCCGTTGACACACATGTATAGGATGGCCCCAACTCACTCAGGTCACTTTCTTTGGAATTATTATCAGAACGAAGAAAGTTCACCCACCTATCAGTTTCATCCTCACAGTCATTCCCTTTTAGGAAAGAAGTATCTCTGATGCTTGACTTCTTTTTCCCAGGAGAAAAACCCGAATCACCTCTCAAAAACGGATCTGTCCTTTCCAGACCCGGTGTTACATTGGTTCCAGCATCAGATTCCATCAACCCATGAAACTCCTCAAATGCACTTAGCTCATAATAACCCTTCCAACGGCTGAATGCCAGCAGCTGAGATCTTGCAACAACATACCCCATCCTGTCATCCACACAGCATGGAGAACTTGCTATTGACTTCAGATGTTGAAGAAACACTCCAGGCCTAAAAGAATCCACGGTTGACAGTTGGTCACCACCATCCCTGTGACTTGATCCCGGTTGAATGCCTGCATTGACCACAATCTGGGATTTAAGCTTGTACTGCACTTCCTCTGGCACACATGGGCAGCACAGGCCAAACTCAATTCTTCTTGAGACCTCATCCAGTGAGCAATCCACAGCGTGACAGAAGGCTTCTCTGCATGAT